ATGCTAAGTGGGAAGCACCCGGAGAGTGAGCATGCTCTGGGGAGAAATGAATTTCATAACAAAGTATCTAAAGGACTTAGCATAGTCCTTGGCTAATGGAATGAAAAATAGAAAGGGCAGCAGTAAACACCCTCACTTCATTATCTTGCTTTCCGGGGTAGATGATTTTTCAAGAAATAGCTTTGTGGGTGTTTTTAAAGCTATTGGAACAAAACAAGTTCTAACTGTTTAGAAGCCAAATGAATACAGTAGTCCCTAGAACTGAGAAGCAGAAAGCATTTTACTGTACAAATCAAAATAAAATGAGGAGTCTTAAGTGACTCACAGGGTTGGCCACTCACTTCTGTATAAGAGTTAGTGTGAATAAACTATGAACCTGAATGACATTGTCCTCAGTCACTGAATGTGTATGAGTGCAGCATACTAATTACTTGAGTGTTAGCTTCCACTGTTATACATTTTGCAGATTCATATTTACTTTTATTTTTGTATTCAGGGCAGTCATAGGATGAGATGCATGAGGTTTTGATTTCCTAAAGGCACCTTTCAGACATATATTGCCTACAAAATAGGTTCTGCTTGTAAGAAGCCAAACACTACTCCAGGAAATGTTCTTCACATGAAGTAGAAATGACCCTGCTCTTCCAATTCCTCTATGTGCCTATTCACTGCCTCATAAAAAGATTAGTTCACAATTATTTTGTAAAATCAGATTCATTATTGGTAACCTTCTTTATGTTGTGCTTAACATGATCGCAATAAAAAAGGAAGAAAATGAATGTTCCCGATGCATTTCAAGACAAGAGTGGGCCTTGGACGTCATGGTTTCCACCTGCCATCTTCTTTTATCTAAGAGGTCTCCCAAGAAGAGACACAGACACATCTGTAGCTTCTGCTTATTAAGGTTGATGGATATGTCAAAAATGCATCCATTATTTATAATAAACGGTATCTGGTAATGCTGTTATGACAAATTACTAGCTTTTCTAGTCAAGATAATTTCAGTAAAAGTGCAGATTCCTTTATATCATGGAGGCCAGGATATGGGAAGTGCTTGTTAAGAAGGTATAAACTGGAACTGGAAATCTGTCGGGAATTTGTCCTGCTGCTTTCTCTGTGCATCACAAACAACTTAATCTTGCTTATAGGGTTTCTCCATCTTTCCATATACTGTCTCCATTCTTCTCTATCAACTCTACTTATTCACAAAGTTTTTATTGTGTGGTAGGTAAGCATGGAAATCACTACTGTTGTCTCAGACTCACTGTACTGAAACCTTGCTGCTTGTGTCCACACCTAATCACTTTTTTTTTGTTTCTTTGGATTTCCTAATTCATATGACCCAGGGAATTGGATTGGCATAGGTAAACATTTTCTTTTCTTTAGCTTTTTTAACTAAGATTTCTGAAGAAGTTAAAAACTAAATCAACTAATTTTAAGTCTATAACTCAATACTTTTTATTTTTTACTTTTTTAATGAATAATGGTTATGTTTATTAATAATGCAATTTGTATCACATGCTATGAGAAATGTCTTACATTAAAATTTTTTTTATTTAATTATTTTTCAACTACAGTATTCTGTCTTTTACTCCCATCCCAGCCAACCCTCCACCGTGCTCCCCACCTCCCTCCCATATCCACCCCCTTAGTTGTCCATGTGTCCTTTATACTAGTTCCTGTAAATCCCTCCCCTTTTCCCCCTGAAATTCCCTCCCCTCTCCCCTCTGGTCGCTGTTTCCCTGTCCTCTATTTCAGTGTCATTGTTTTTATTTTGCTTGCTTATTTGTCTGATTGTTTAGCTTCCTATTAAAGGTGAGATCACCGCCTGGCTTATTTCACTCAGCATAATACTTTCCATTTCCATCAAAGCTGTTGCAAAGGGAAGGAGCTCCTTCCTTCTTTCTGCTGCATAGAATTCCATTGTGTATATGTACCATAATTTTTGGATCCATTCATTTACTGACAGCACTGAGATTGCTTCCAGCTCTTAGCTATTGTAAATTGTGCTGCTATGAACATTGGGGTGCATAGGTTCTTTTGACACAGAAAAAGCTTTTGATAAGGCACAACACCCATTTATGATAAAAACACTCAGCAAAGTGGGAATAGAGGGAGCATTCCTCAATATTGGGCATATATGAGAGACCTACAGCCAACATCATACTCAATGGGAAAAAACTAAAATCTTTTCCATTAAGATCAGGGACAAGACAAGGATGTCTACTTTCACCACTTCTATTCAATATAGTACTGGAAGTTTTAGCCACAGCAATCAGACAAGAAAATAAAATAAAAGGCATCCAAATTGGAAAGGAGGAAACAAAACTGTCATTGTTTGCAGATGACATGATAGCGTACATGGAAAATCCTATAGACTCTACCAAAAAACTGCTCAACCTAATAAATGAATTTGGTAAAACAGTGGGTTACAAAGTCAATATCCAGAAATCAAAGGCATTTTTGTATATTAACAATAAATCAGCAGAAGCAGAAATCAAGAAAAAAATCCCATTAGATATAGCAAAAACAAAAATAAAATATTTGTGAATAAACCTAACCAAGGAGGTAAAAGACCTGTATGCAGAAAACTGTGCAACACTGAAGAAAGAAATCAAGGAAGACACAAACAAATGGAAACATATACAGTGTTCATGGATAACTCAATACTTTTTAGTAAATTTATAAAAGTTGTGTGACAATTAATATAATCCAGTTTTAGAATATCTTCGTTAACACAAAAAACTCCCCTGAGCCTCTTTTTTGCAGTTAATCTCTAGTCCCATCTTCAGCTTTAGGCAACCCATCTTCAGCTTTCTTTCCCTATAATAATGTTCATTTTGGACATTTTATATAAATGGAATTACACAATATGTCATGTTTTGTGAAAGGCTTCTGTCACTGGGCATAATACTTTTGAAGTTCATTGTGTTATAACATATATCAGTATTGTGTCTCTTTAAATTGCTGAATAGTATTCCATTGTATGGCTATCACATGTTTTCAAAAATTCCAAATTCATTCCAAATAAAGTCCAAAGGAATGTTTCATTTCATCAGTTTGTAAATATTTGAGTTATTTCCAGTGTGACTATCATTAATAATGGTACTATTACCATTCATTATCTCAGTAACACTCTGTCTTGATAAAGCTATCTTCAGAGTAAGTTTTATAATTGGCTTGTGTATGCCTTCCAACTTTGTTGTTTTTGAAAGGTGTTTTGGCTATTGCAGGTCCTTTTTATTTCTATATAATATATTTTAGGAGCAGCATATCAATTTCTACAAAAAAACCCTTGCTGTGATTCTGATAGGGATAGCATTGAATATACTAATCAATTATTTATCAACTTGGGGAGAACTGATATATTGAAATATTGAAACTACCCTCTAATCCATGATTATATAATGTGTCTCCATTTAATTAGACACTTAATTTCTCACAGAAAATGTTTTGTAGTTCAGTGTATAAATCTTATGTCTATGGTTACATTTATTTCTATATGTCTTGCTCTTTCTCATGAAATTGTAAATGACGTTGTTTCCTTAATTTTATTTTTGAATTGTCATTGCTAATATATAGAAATATCATTTATATTTATATCTCATATGCCATGATACAAAGTATTCTTTATTAATTCTAGTAGTTTTGGCAGTTTCTTGGAATTTTCTACACAGATAATGATGTAGTCTGCTAAGAAAAACTGTTTTGTTTTCTTCTTTCTAATTTGGATAAATGGTTCTATCTATCTGTGTCTCCATGTGTCTGTATATCACCTCATTGTACTATCTAGAATATTTGGTTATAATTCTTTAATAGAAATAGTGACAATGGATATCTTTGCTATGTTCCAGGTCTTAAGAGAAAAACATTAAGTTTTTTCACTATTAAGTATGGTGTTTGCTGTATATTTTTCATTGATGTCTTTTATCAAGTTTGAGAAAGCATCAATTTATTTCTTATTTTTTTAAAGATTTTATTTATTTATCTTTAGAGAGGAAGGGAAGGAGAGAGGGAGAGAAATATTAATGTATGGTTGCCTCTCACGAGTCCCCTGCTGGGAACTGGCCTGCAACCCAAGCATGTGCCCTGACTGGGAATTGAACTGCAATCATGTGGTTCACAGGCCCGCGCTCAATCCACTGAGCTACACCAGCCAGGGCAATTTATTTCTTATTTCATGAGAGTTTTAATTATTAGCATTTGTTAAATATTGTCAATATTTTTTATACCTACTGATTCTACTAATATGGTATATTATATTATTTGATTTTCATATGCTAAACCAAGCTTGCATTCCTGGATAAATCCCCTTTAATCATAATTTTATACCCCTTTTTAATATGTTATTAAATTTGGTTTGCTAATATTTTATTAAGGATATTTAAATCTATAGTTATGAGGGATTTGGCTGCAGTTTTCTTAACTTGCTTTTCCTTTTTATTCTTTCCTAACTTTGGTAGTAATGTAATACTGGCCCAGATATTTACTTATATACTTTTCCCTCTTCTACTTCATGAAAGAATTTGAAAAGAATTGTTTAATTTCTTTTGGAAATAATTTATAGAATTTACATGTGGACCCATCCTGTATGGAATTTGCTTCATGGAACAATTTAAAATTTCTAATGCAGTATCTATAGATGTTTTAGGTCTTTTCAGATTTCCTATCATCTTGAGTCAGTTTTAGCAATTTGTTGTTTCTAAAGAATTTTTCCACTTATCAAAATTGTCTAATTTGTAGGCTAAGTTCACATTTTTTATGTGCCAGATACCACAGGTGACTGCCCACCCTTGAATTTGATCTTCATTGGCACCCAGTCATTTGTGGCTATGGAGGGGTAGAGTATCACTGTACAAACCAACACTGCCAAAGGGTGAGACTAGGAGAGAATTTGGGGAAAGCATGACTCTTCAGTAGCAGTGGTCTAGAAAAACATTCTGCGTCTAATTCTATCTAACACACTAGTTTAACATTTCAGCACAAATTCTTATACTTACTTTTGTCTTGAGCACATTGTAATGTTGAAACAGTACTTGGAAGTGAAATATTTCTCACTGTTACAGTCGCGGTGGTCGAGTCTTCTGTCATGACATCATTGGTCGTAGCTCCTAATTATGTAAAAAGAATCAACTGCCATCAGAGGTATAATCAACCACCACCAAACAGTCTCACTAGTATTCATATTAACATCCAGTTACAACTTAAGGATTAATTACTGAAAGTCATCTGATCAAGATTTAGAAATTGAACATTTCATGCCTACATTTTAGTGATCCAGTTAAAACTAAGAGGCACATTAGACTCTCCTATATGTTTGCAATAGGTTACCTCATTTAAGTATAATAGTAATCCTATGAGTAAAATAATAATTATGATAATAATTTCATCTAAAAATCTCAGAAAAGACTTCTAGCCAACATGGAGGTATAAATAGATGCACTTTACATCTTCCCACAACCAAAAGAAGGACAATGGCAATTTAAAAGCAAAAAGTAACCAGAACTGCCAGAAAATTGAACTGCATGGAAGTCTGATAAAACTAAGGAGTTAAAGAAGAAACATTTACTCAGACTGGATAGCTGAGGTGGAGAGGACGCATGGCAAAGACGTGCCTGGGGGACCTGGCAGGTGAAGTGGCAGTGGACTGGGAACTGCCACATTTGCAGGTGGTTAAACCAGGAAGAACAACTGTGGAGCAAGACAAACTGCACAACCCAAGGTTTCAGTGTGGGTAAATAAAGCCTCAAAACCTCTTACTGTAAAAACCTGTGGGGGTTGAGGCAAAGGAAGAAAATCCCAGGCTCACAGGAGAGTTTGTTGGAGAGACCCACAGGGTCCTAGAAAAAACACAAACCCACCCACCCAGAAATCAGTGCCAGAAGGGCCCACTTTGCTTGTGGGTAGTGGAGGAAGTGACTGAAAACCAGGTCACAGCCAAGCGAGTTGCGTTCCCTCTTGGACCCCTCCCCCTCGTACAGCACCACAATGCAGCCTTGTGGGTTGCCCACATGGTGGATTCCTAAGGCTCCATACCTTACTATGTAACAGATGAGTCCAGACAAAAAATGTGGCCCAGATGAAAGAACATATCAAAGCTCCAAATATAGAACTCAACAATGAACAGATAGCCAACCTATCAGATGCACAGTTCAAAACACTGGTAATCAGGATGTTCACAGAAATGGTCGAGTAGTGTCACAAAATAGAGGGAAAAGTGAAGGCTATGCAAAGTGAAATAAAGAAAAATATACAGGGAACCAACAGTGAAGAAAAGGAAACCAGGATTCAAATCAACAATTTGAAGCAGAAGGAGGAAATAAACATTCAACAGGAACAGAATGAAGAATAAAGAATTTAAAAAAAAATGAGGAGAGCCAGAGGTACAAATAAACTTGTACCTCTGGCACAACTTTAAAAGTTCCAATATCTGAATCATAGGGGTGCCAGAAGGAGAAAAGAAAGAGAAAAAAAATTAAAACTTAGAAAAAATGAGAGAGATCTTCACCAATCTCACAAAGGAAAATAGACTTACAGGAAGTCCTAGAAGCTTAGAGAGTCCCAAACAAGTTGGGCCCAAGGAAGCATACACCAAGGCACATCATAATTACATTACCCAGGATTAAAGATAAGGAGAGAATATTAAAGGCAGCAAGAGAAAAAGAGACAGTTACTTACAAAGGAGTTCCCATAAGACTATCAGCTGATCTCAGAAGAAACCTTACAAGGCAAGAAGGGACTGGAAAAAAGCATTTGAAGTCATGAAAGGCAAGGAGCTACATCCAAAATTACTCTATCCAGCAAAGCTATTATTCAGAAGGAAGGGCAGATAAAGTGCTTCCCAGATAAGGTCAAGTTCAAGGAGTTCATCATCACCAAACCCTTATTATATGAAATGTTAAAGGGACTTATCAAAGAAAAAGAAGATGATCAAAACTATGAATAGTAAAATGAAAACAAACATACAACTATCAGCAACTGAACCTTAAAAAACAAAGTAAGCAAACAATCAGAACAGAAACAGAATCATAGAAATGGAGATCACATGGAGGGTTATCAGAGGGGTGGGGAAGTGGAGAGAATAGGGGAAAAGGTACAGGGAATAAGAAGCATAAATGGTAGCCATAAAATAGACAGGGAGAGGTTATGAAAAGTATGGGAAATGGAGAAGCCAAACAACTTATATGTATGACCCATGAACATGAACTAAGAGGGAGGAATGCTAGTGGGTGGGGGTGCAGGGTGGAAGGGAGTAAAGGGAGCAAAATAAATGGGACACCTGTAATAGCATAATCAGTGAAATACATTAAAAAAACTCAGTAAAGTTAAATAATTTCCCCACATTCTCATAACTTGTAGCAGGAGAGAGCCAGAACATGCATCCAAGTTTTTGTGATGCTAAAATTAATCATTCAACTGCTCTAGAAAGGGGAAGCAGTGACAGTTGAATATAGTACCATGGTTCCCATGCTGTATGAGAAATAAATAATTTTTAGGTAGGCATACTAGCCCTAAGGAGAAGGATCACGGGATATATAAAATAATCTTTTAATTATACTTTGTTTATTTTTAAAAGGAAAATTAACAACAAAAATAAGCTGAGCTTTCAAAAATAACATAGGAATAAGTCTACTTGAAACAACACATCTTATAAAAACAAAGTGATTAATGCTCTTCAGCCATTTTACTAACATTGGGTTAATAAAGAAAAACATGTGTGCTGGTTGGTGAATGCTTAGTGTTAAGTAGATAGGATGTTGGCCAGAAATGGGGAGAAAGTGATTTAATAGATTTTTATCCAAGTAGGTTGGAACCTAGAATTGCTGGGGCCTTCCAGAAATGCCAGTTTCCATTCTATAGCATAAATACCTATTGTGTAATGCAAACCCTTAGCGCTGTTGAGAGATTTATTCTAGAGAAAATAATAATTTGCAAGAAAACTTCACAGGCCGTGGGTAAATAAGTCTATACACAAAAAGCCTTCAGGAACTGGCATGCAAACAAAGGTAAAATAAATTCAAACATAAGTTACATCATTAACACTGCATATGAGAAAGGATAAGCAGCAATGGGCATAAACTTCAGAGACATCATAAAGCACTCAACTGAGAGGGAAATACTTGAGAAAGTAAAGATAAGTCTTTTTGTAGCAGGAGGGCAAAAACTGGTGTCTGTGATAGCATGGAAGTGGGAAGGTCACCCAAGGTGCAGAAACTTAGCACTTGAGGATAGAGACCCAAGATAGGGGTAAAGATTTTGCTTCTCACTAAAAATTTTTTAAAAGCTTGGAAAACATTGGCACAGGAGATTCTCTTCAGAAATCTTTGGAGAATAATTCTTCTGTTAAACTAAAATTCGAACACATGAAAAGGATACCCTAACTATCTAACAAATTTCATAGTATAAAGTAGACTCAACAATCTTGGCACTAGAAAGAGAATATATAGGTAAGAAAGATGTGAGGAGCTGCTAGATGAGAAAAATACAAAGCAAAGAGTAGGATAATGGAAGAGCTGACTGAGGATGCAACACCAAAGATCTTGCTTAGAGAACTACCTATTATTAATATGGAATACGCTTCACAAATGAGTAGACTTAGAGTCCACACCAACTTCATGAGAGGCTGTCAGTGATACAGTCAGGCAATGGAAGGAATCTTAAATGCTTCCTTAGGCAATGGAAAGAATCTCGAATGCTTTAAAGGCAATCAAAATATTTTTAAATATCCATGGTGGACCTACAATGATGAGAAGAAAAGATATAGACTGGGGGAAGGGAATGGGAGAGAGGGGAGAGACAGGGTGGGGGGGCTGGGATGGGAGAAATAGACAAAAAATGTATTTGAAAAATAACTAAATAAAAATTTAAAAAAAAAGAAAAGATATAGAGAATAATGCTGCCAGAGTTGTAAATTTTACTAGTACAGTAATATGTTTCAACTCCTAGTCTCAGGAGAGGGGGAAAATGAGTGACTGACACATATTAATATATAAGAATCATAGCCTTGTATTAATGTCTTGTTGGAAAAATTCTTTTAATTGCATTATGCGTTCACACATAGAAGATTCTGAACTCTTGCCAAAAAGTGACTGTCACCTCAGAGAAAGAAAAAAGCCAATCTTAAAGCTATTCTCCATACTTATATGGTTTGCTTTGTTTTCCATCTGGCCATTTTTTTTCAATCTGGCCATTTCTCCCCAGATACCACTATGTATCTGCTTTGGTTTACAGCAGCAATTTTTAACCTTTTTTTAAATCTCATGACACACATGAACTAATCCCCAAAATTCTGTGGCACACCAAAAATACATTTTTCTATCTGACAAAAATATATATAATTTTGATTCATTCCCACTTTATGGCTATTGTTTTGTTGGCTGTTGTCATTTTTTTAACTTGACAATCTAGGGAAAAAGGGGTCAGTGTCCCTGACTAAATAGATGAGTATTGCATGTTTTAAAAATTCCAGGTTCACATTGCACTGTAAATCAAGGTAATAATATATGTATTAGATTTGACAAACATTATTTTAGTTGAGAAATATTAATTTTTATTGCAACATTGAGATAATTTTGGCTTTAGTTTTAGGATTCATGTTTTTTAAATTCATGCTGCATGATTCTAAGAACTTCGTTTTAGCTGAAATGTATGCAAGACAAAATATTAAAAAAAATTAATTTACATTTGAATTGGAATAAGGAAAATCTAGCATAAGAGATACTTGAGAGATACACATTAATACTGAAGTATATAAGTGCAGAGAAAGGGATTGAGGCTACTTTATAATTGTCTTGAAAATATTAATATGGGATTCATCCTGTGTATTTTGGGAGATTACAGTTTGGGGAGGAAGCTGTAAGTATAAACATTAGTTACATTAGAAGTTTAAAGTGTATTTACAACAGATTGACTTGAAAGCGAGGGATTATGGAGTTAAACTCCTCAGGGAAGAGAATTAAGCAGCTTTAGTCTTCTGAAATTATATGATTTAAATTATAGTAATTTTTATAGTCAAATTATTTGAAGATGTATAGATTAAAAAAAGTCTGTGGTAAAATTACTAAGATTTAAAAAAGTGTTAGTGTGCATTGTAAAACCCCAGGGGAGAGTA